GGTGCCGAGACCCCATTCTGGCACCACCGCGATATCAAATAAATATTTTTAATCTAAGACTAAAGGAAATCGGAAATTCATCATTTTTTCTGTGATTCACGTCTTTGAGTGACTTCACAGGTTATCTTTGTTCCAATGTATTTTATCATACATCATCATTATCATTATTATTATTATTATAATTGAGGTAATGTATTATCACATTAAAATTTATTAAAAATTAGGTTGAATTAAATTAAATAAATAGTCGAAATAATGGAAATAATTAAATTCTCAATGACAAAAACAGAATACATTCGAATTGAAAATAATCAATAATATTCATACCGCATAATTTAATTCTGTAAGATCAGCATCACCGTTTTTGAGCCAATCAATAAACTCCATCGCATTATCAGTGGGATCGCCTTCTCCATATGTAGCCAGGCAAAATACCGCTAAACTGTTGGGAATCGTTTTCAGATGTACTAACTCCTCCTGTATAAAAATAAAAATATTCATTGTAATCTCTTATTACTCCTTTACATTGTAAATGATCGTTAGACATCCGCGAAGTGGTTGAATAGAAATTATCTTCGCGCGAAGCATTAATATATTACTATATATACATTTCTGCACATGCAGAGTAGTTGAGCAGAAAAATTTCTCAATTGGCTTAACAAGATATCGCTTGTGACATGAATAGTCTTACTCGGCCAGTTTTTTTTAATATAAAATATTCATAAAATGCGATTCGAAATGTCCCTTCTCCTTCCCTTTCAAAATGAAAAATAATGATCTATATACCATGTTGCACTCTTCAGGATCAGCCACCATTCCTTTCATCTTATATCTGATACCTTCCTTGGCAAGACGACCAGCAAATTCTTCGGCAGTACCTGTCTGACTGCCATAGAACACTACCAGACTTCGCCCGGAAGTCTTCAGTTTCTTGATAAAGGAGTTTTCCGATGAAGGTGCCACGGCGAACGATGTCGGCCTGCAATCGAACAATCGTTTCATACAACAAATTACAGTATCATTAATTCTTGGATGCATGCTTAAGGAAGATCTCTGTTGAGCGAACAATTTTATTTGTCATTATCCAAATCTCTTACTTTCTTTGGGTGATTTTTGAAATAATTTCGTATTATTTACTGGTAAATTTAAATATATCAAGACTCCTTCGAACAAACGTTTAGAGCCAAGACAGTTTGTATAAAAAATATATTTACTGAATAGAATAGGATTTGGGTGCTGGCGCGGCCTCCCTTCGCATTCTACTTCTCACGTAGACAAACATCATTGCCAGGAGGATGCCGAGAATTAACATTATGTCCGTGATGCTGAGGAACGGTTGCTCATCCTCTGGTCCGCTCTCATTTTCTAACATTGGTGACCCTGCCATTCTTATAGCCTTCGGTTGCGACGCGTCTACGGTCTACAATAGATACAATAGATACATTAAATACGATTTTAATCATGATTAGTCAAATGATCTTGGATAAGATCGATTTCTCAAACACATTGTTCAAAAAGTTCTAGAAACTATAACTGCGTTAGATTATTTCGCTCACAATAAGAAAAAAATAGGGTTTCATACATTGTACATCTAACACTTGCTTATTATCTTATCTCCTTTTTTTCTTATGACTCATTATCGTTCACTCATAATTAGCGTTACAATTTCTTCATCATTAATGTAGATTACGAAAATAAATATGCCATAACTGGCCATGTCCTTTAAGCTTATCGATACTTTATATTCCACGAAAATGCGACGAGCAGATATTAAAAATGCGTTCTTGATCTCATTACATTAATTAGAAATATTTTATAAATAATAGAAAAATTAGCATACATTGGAGACATAGCGTGATACGACTATTTATTATACAATCAAAGCCATTATCAAGATTGAATGTCAGTGATAAGTTGAATGTCAGTGCGCTCAAATCGAATTTACTTCGACCGATATTTTGACCATGACACACCATGGTAATTTGCATTCGAAATTTTGTTGTAACGGAATCTGGGATTTTTCCTCCTCCTCAATCTTTAAAATAGAAAAAAATGCTAATCTGACGAAATTTATGTAAATCAGTGCTCGCAAAGAAATGCACATTTCGGGGGCTGCCCGAATGCTGATTTCCGAGGCGATGCCTACTATCTCCCTACTATCGCTCGAGACTCGACGGCCGAGCCGCCGATCGCTGTGGCCTCAGGAGTGTCCCCGTTTCAGAAATGCTGAGTATAGCCTTTCAGTCAAACTATTAACAAATGAACATTGTGATAATAACTAATAGAAAATATATAATAGTTTTAACAATAATTTTTTACATCACCCATTAAGTACCATTTTTGATGCGTTTTTTTAAACTAACAACTTATAAGAAACACATATAGTACATTAATAATGGAAAATTTAATGTTTAATATATGAAAATAAGTTATTTGAAAAAATGTTTTATTAAGTTTGGTGGAAAGGTCACTTTCAAGATTCGCTTACCAATTCGTGTATCAAAATTTCGCGAATATCGCAGAATTGATCAATTTATACATGTTATTAAAATATAAAGATATATACGCGTATTAACAAATAAGGGAATATTCATTACTAATTTGGAAACAAACTATATTCAATTACAGATTAAATCAGATAACTCAGACGGACGATGCCAGAGCTCCAGAGAGGAAATGCGTTTTTCACGGATGCGTGCACTTAGTACTTCTTGATATTGAGCATTAGATAAAAATGATTGACGGACTCTGCAGGGCATTGTTAGAGAATTGTTACTTATAGCGCATTGTGCGTTGCAAATTGTTGGTGATTCGTATCGCTATCGTTTAAAGATAAAGTATCGAGAAATCTTTATACTGATAATTGAATTGCCATTTATTAACTTGTCACTGTATTACGCGGAATGACTTGGTTCACGTCATTTACATGGTACAATTCTCAGATTTGTCAGTATTCGGAATTTAGAATGTTAATTATGTCTCTTGTACTATATTTCAGGGGTCGGCAAAACGCTGAAATTGGGCACGGCGTTCGAGAACGCCCGCGAGTGCCCGTCTGTGTGCACATCTCAGGAACGTATCTAATATTTTTAGTACCTTGGAATAAAGTTCCGCATTTTCAAATGAAACTTAATTTATGGATCAATCAATTTCAATCTCGACAGTTGTTGCATTTTTCAAATTTATTATCTGTTGCCATGCACATTCAAGATAAGCAATATGAAGAATATATAAATTCATTTCAATTATTACATAATGAATTCGATTGTCGGTTTAGGGAAATGCATGTTTTAGAAGAAGACTTATTTATTTTTATGATACCTTTTACTATTGATATTAATATTGTTCCCGCAGATATACAATTAGAATTAATAGATTTAAAATGTGACACTGCTCTTAAAAAATCATTTTTATACAATGACTGACATCATACAATTTTATTCATATATATCTCAAGAATGTTTTCCTCAACTACATGTTTGTGTTGCAAAAATAATGAGTATGTTCGGTTCTACATATTTATGTGAACAATTATTTTCTATTATGAAATTAAATAAATCGCGATTATGCAAACAGTTAACAGATTCACATTTGAATTTTGCAATAATAAGTTTGAATTGAAAACGATAACATCTGATATATCATATATAATATCGGAAAACTATGAATCAAATACTAATTAAATGTTATGTAAGAGTTGTTTATTTAATATTATTGTAAGAATTGTTTATTTAAAATATAGATAGTTATTAATTTATGCTAATTCCGGATCTGAATTTGTGCAACACAATTATTTTTTTATTCCTTGAACAGTTCAATGAACAGACGTTCCTGCTATCCCCTCTCCTCACTTTATTGCAGCCGCCTAATGCTAATCCCAGCGCGCTTGACTGTTGCCTGCGGGCATTGGGCGCCCGCGAGCAGTGCCCACTTGCCGACCTTTGCTATATTTGATCGAGATTTGAGCATCAATGTGTTCAGCAAAAAAAAAAACCAGCTTGGCAACTATTGTAACATTTTTTAAATACAATTAAAGACAAAATTAAAAACAAAAGCCATGTTAAAAAAATCTTATAATTGCAAAACTACTTTTTCTGCTAAATGCAACCATTGTCAATTACAAATCACGATCGCAATAATAATAATGATAAGGCATTACATTATTCGGCGTTATTCTGTATTATTTGCTTCTGTCTCATGATTCGTTATCTCATCGAGAAAATATGATATTATTTTGTTATTCTGACGTCGGAAAAATACTCATTACATAGCGAACACACGAAAGGATAAAACTTACATAATTATTGTGTCACTAGACAAGACAGCTTGCGTAACGAAGATAATGATCATTAGAGATTCACAATTGCCGCATTACTTGCCGCGAAAAAACTTATTCCACATTTATCCACGAAAGTTTTGTTGAGTCAAGAGCAATGAGCTCGAAAAAAATTTGGATCTACATTAATGTTTGCTTGTATTCGTTTGCTTATCTATTGGCCTGCTTATCTGTCTTATCTTGAATTTATTCCGCTCGCGAATAATTTTTTCGTGATCGTCTCAAAGCGTCACGATGACTTCTAAAAAATGCGTCATGCTATATGAAAAACGAGTCACGTAAGTCCTGTTCAAGTATGCAATTAGCTTTTTACAGTGAGAATTTGAAAAACAATACGCATCGTTGAATCTTCAATTTTTTAAAACTTGCATTGGCAAACTACTCTAAATGTTAATCTATCGATTAATCATTATTATTATTAATTTATAAACGTTTATCTGAAAGTCTAACCATTTAATGAGTCGCGTTTATACCGAACTTAATGAATTTGCATTTACAATTATGTCAAAATTATTTTCTAAGAAAATTATTTTCTAAGAAATAACGAATCGTATACAAGTGAAATAAATAATCATAAACTATAGATAGTTTATCGCTAAAGACGAAAACTAAAAATTACTATATAACATAAAATCAAAGTTTATGATTCTGGTTTATTTTTACACGGTTCTTAATTATCGCGTAATGGCTTATAATATTAATTATCTAATACACAACAAATTCTTCATCTCAAAAATTATATATAACTTATAATAGCGATATATATTCTGATAGACTTTTGAGAGGTATTGGAGGATTAAATCATTTTCGAGAAATGGAAGCAAACTTTTTATATAAATATTGTATCAATGATTATATCGATATTAAGAAATTTATTTGTATGTTACACAAGGAAAAAGGAATAAAGATAAGAAGCCATGTATGTCGATTGATACTCACTGCTTCGCATACAAGCTATTTCATATTGAAAAAGACATTCAACTCACGAATCCATTTCATCAGATTTCATTTTCATGCTTTGAAAAATTCTAAATATTCAAGTACATTAACAGTTGTTCAGCGATCTAGTTCAGGAAATCTATTTATTAATTCGAATCTAAGAAGTATTTTAATAGTTTGCTCGATTATCAGATCTCGAAAACCGAAAAGTTAAAGAAACATCAGTTGTCATATTTCATCAGCCGATTTTAATATTAACAATGGAAAAATTTTCATAAGTACGTAAAATATTTTACAACATCATTAAATTTGATTTTCTTTTTTCCTTTCATTTTTTTTATTTCATACATGAACTATACACGCGTGCGCGCGCGCGCGCGCGCGCGCGCACGCACGCACGCACACACACACACACACATACACACACACACACACAACGCGCGCGCGCAAATCACATCGCGTTATACCTAAGCAAAGTAGTACAAATTTTATTTTTGTTTAGATTTTCCAAAATTTTATTATTAAACTATAAATTATATGATTATTGTTCATATCTAATTTCTACGAATACAGGTTAATTATATTATTTGTTCAAAACTTCTTTTTACTCTTTCTTAATTCTCAAAATTCGAAAATGATAAAGAATGAGAAAAATATTAAATATAATATAAAATATTAAATATAAGTAATTCTAAAATTAATCTACATTGAAAATGTAAATTATTAAATCTTATATAATTTATTATATTAAATACACGAGAAAAATAATAACTGCGTTGTTTTTTTTTTTTTAGAGAAAAAGATGTTAAAAACCTAAAAAGATAAAAGAAATCTTTTGCTCGATTTTACACACAAAGTTTGGAAACAAATCTTTCAGCGTATCCAATGCGTGACATCAGTTCATCAAATTATAATCAGTATTCATATTCCGTTTTGATTTCACGACTATCTTAAGTAATGTTTATGATGCTCGTAAATAAATTAATGTATATAAATTTGAATGCAACTTTATTTTATATTTTATTTTATATATTAACTTATACACAGTCATAGTAACAACGTGAGAAAACAAAATATAAATAAAAATATAAATAAAAATATAAATAAAAATATAAACAAAATATAAATAAAAATAGAAGTTATTTATTTAAAAAGATTATATAATGTCACAAATACAATATCGCAATTTCAAAATAAGTTCTGATACATACGTTGTTACAATAGCGTAATAAAAACTTTAAATCATTGTAAAATGTAAATTTTATATAAATCTATTTATTTTAATACAATAGTAAAACAACATAATTGTAAATTTCATTTGTTATATTAATGCATTATGTAATAATGCACTATAATATATAATAATGCATCGATATAATGCATAACATGAAAAATTATACTAGTTTATTTGAGTTTATCTGAACTACGGCTTTCCGAGTGATTGGTTTGTGACATCTTAAATCTATATTTAAGCTGTCAGATTTAAGTCTTAAGTATAAGAATAAATGAATACCTACTTGTATTACGTGATTTTCTCACAACACATAATGCAACACAACACAAATTTTCTTACTCGTGTTATTATTCGTTATGTTATAAATAATTGTGTAAAAAAATACAAGATAAACCTACATATATTACGTGATTTTCTTATAACACATAATGCAACGCAACACAAATTTTCTTGCTCGTATCATTATTCGTTGCGTTATAAATAATTGTGTAAAAAGATATTTAATTCGCTTACTGGCAAATCCATGTTGTGCATACGAGGAAATGTGCTACAATCGTAAGATGGAGTTCACGATAAATTTCACAAATGAAGTACACGTGGTCTCGCCGACGTTCGAACGATCTTGCATGTGAAAACCTCCTATGACGAAAAACAATTCGCAACTGAACCGCGTCGCTGTCACCCGTATCAAGCTAAAGCGAGGTAAACAGAGTCGCTTCGACTCGGGGCGACGTGATCATGCATCAATATACGTATCGTACGCGCTGACTTATGCTATCGCGACAAAATGGCAAGTCATTCTACTTGCGCGTAATCAAGCGCTCGGAGACGGCTACTGATGATTTCTGTTCGAAATCTTTTACTCGATTCGCAGAATCCCAAATTCATTTATTCTACGATATTGCTACTAC